TGCCCCTGGTTGGGCTCATAATCAGAAAGGAATGGCACCCATCTGGTTTGCATCCTGCTGTGCTTACACAGTTGTCAGGAAAACTATATTTGCCCGGTGCTAGATTTGTGTAAGAGTTCCAGGATGCACCAGAAACCCAGATCAAATAAAGTCCTTTTTTTCTTTCCATTTCTCTCTAGCAGCTCATGGTAGATCAGTGAAGAGTTTTTCTAAGATAGTCAGGGAGATAAATAATAACTAACCTGGAAGATGAGTAATCTTGTATACGTAACCAGGAAATAAACTTTTTTTAGTTATTTACAGCAAATAAGACAAACAAGAGGAAGAATCCAGGAGCTTTTGTTTTTGAGGGTCTCTAATGGGTTCCAGTCATTTTTGATCCTAGCAAAGCCTGGGTTCAAACTATCCCAAACTTTTCTTCAAAAAGAGATGTGTCAAATGCTGCTTCCAAGCTTTCCCTGCACCTTTCAAGCCCAGAAGTTTCTCTTTCCTATTACTTCCATGTCTTCTTTGGTGGCCTGTCTTTCTCCATCCCTCGAAAGTTAGGCATTTCCCCAAGGCTTGGTCCTCTTTTGACTTCTTTGTCTTTGTCTTGTCGCTTTTGTTGCCTTAGATGAATCTGTCTCTCTTTTTCTCTCCTTCCTAAGCATCCACTAGTTCTATAATGCTGTCACCTGAGCCTTAGCATCTGACTCCTCCTGACTGGCAGGACGTCGATGCTCTAGAGTTGAGACAGCACCTCCTACACTCAGCATCCATCTCGTCACCTTCCTGCCACATTGTCAGTTCCTTAACACCTCCTCTAACTTCTCTGCTTCTCTCAGTGGGGACCCTCCATTCTTCACAGTCCCTGAAGCCCCACATCATATCTTTGATGCCTCTTTTTTCCTCATCGCCCACATCTGATCAGGTAACAAGACTTGTATTTTCTCCCTTGGTGAAAACAGAAATCTAACAATTGTAATGGAGATGAGCACCTGGCAAAATCCTAATTCTCTCGCTTATGAGAAGTTATGCCAGGCAATGACATATTCGGGCATTAACTGGCCACCTGCCCGATTGTTTTCCCCTGCAGATCACTGGACCCCTGCTTTACTATCTTTTCCAAATTATGTCTGCTAACTTTCTCCCTCCACTTTTGGTTTAATGTTCCCTTAATCTGACTGAATGGGGATTTGACCTGATTGTCCTTAAAAGCCCCTTCCAACCTTGGGATTATATGACCAGAACTACTGTGAACTAAAGAATTAAACTGACATGGATTCCAACATTGAAGAAGGGAAGGAGAGAGGAAGGAAAGGAGAGACAGACACTGAACAAGAACTCACATAGACACTGCTCACACAGCTGTGTGCAGGATCGATGGGGAAATGAAGGTCTTCACCAGGACGCATCCTGGGGGAATGAATTCACTTGGAGCTCAGAAGTGCGACAGTGAGAGAGAGTCTGAAGCCTTCATGACTTTATCCCATTTGTTTTTCTTTTTAATGGAGATTAAATCCTGGGGAATTGAACCCAGGACCTCATGCGTGCTAAGTATGCGCTCTACCAGCTGAGCTATCCCCACCCCTCTTGACTTTGTCCAGTTTTTGCTCCCACCGGACTCTGGCTCAGGCTCCACTGGATGCTCTTCTGCAGTGGGCAGGTCATCTCTGGCCCATCTCATCTACCACATGTTGTCCTCTGGGCCACCTCTGAAGTACTGCTGGCAACACGAACATGCAGGTTAATATCCTTGGTGCTTTGCTTTCTGCCACCCCGCGGACTTCCTTCTTCGCTGTCATTGATGCTCCTTTTCCCACAAGTCTAGGCAGAATTTTACACTCACGTGACTTGTTGAAGCCAGTAACCTGTGAGCTTCCCAGCCTCCCTCCCTCTGAAATATAAATTTATGAAATATAAATTTAGGGCCAGAAAAACTTACAGACTCTCCCATCATGTCCTCCTTATCACTGCCACTACTATTTATAAATGAAAATGTAATAAAAACATTTGTAAACAGAAAAAGACCTCCAAAAATGGGGTTTGGTTTTTATTAGTAGTATTATTAATGGTGGAAATCAGTTTCTTCCTTAGACTATGGGAGAGCTGACATGATTCTTCCTCTGAGATCATCCTAGGCTGACTGGCCAAATTTAGTGATGGCAGCAAGAGGGCAGACACTTCACTACTGAAGCTGGAGATCTGGAGGGAGCAGATGGGTGTGGGGCTCGTGAAGATGAGTGTTTGGGTCGCTGAGACCTTCCTGACTCCGGCTCCGCCTTGGTACGCTCGGTACTCCCTCTGGCAGCATCCTGGGTTCCCAGCAGGCCTACGTGCTAGAGGCCACACCATCTCTTCTCTCGGCCTGACTTCTTATGAGACCCAGCTGCTTCCCTCACAGCAGCCAAAGCCCATGGCTACAGCTAAAAATTCAGAGCCAGAGGAGGGGCCAGGCAAACCTGTGAAATGAGCAGAAGGCACTTGAGGACCCAGTCTGTCCCAAACATCGAAAGCCCTTTCCAGCTAGGTTTACCGTCACTCTGCCTGATCCCTTTCTTCCCTGTGAGTTATTGTGCATTTAGCTGCATTACAAAACCCTACCAGTTTTCAGTAATGTTTGGTACGCACACCTGGCTATATTTACCGAGCTCCTCAGACGCATGGCGTAGTGACATGCTCCGTCTTGGGGGAGACCGCCTGGGTTTGAATGCTGGCTTCCACTTACCAGCTGTGTCACCATAAGCAGCTACTTCGGCTCATTCAGCCTTCACTTCCTCATT